AGAAGAAAAATAAACTTTTAGAACCAATTTAAACGGGGGGGGGGGAGGGGAACCGAGCTCCTGGTCTCCCCCCCCCCCCCGTGCCCCCCCCATCCTCTCCATCACTACTAACAACGCCACCATCTCTCTCACCCCACACGCCAAAGTCCTGGGTGTCACCCTGGACTCCCACCTCTCCTTCCTACCCCACATCCAACTGCTATCTAGATCTTGCAGGCTCCACCTCCGCAACATCTCCAAGATACGCACATTCCTCACCCCAGACACCACCAAACAACTCGTACACTCCCTCATCATCTCACGCCTGGACTACTGCAACTCCCTCCTCACTGGTCTACCCAAACGAGCGCTATCCCCACTCCAGTCTATCCTGAACTCAGCGGCCAGACTCATCCACCTCACCAACCGCTCCACATCTGCCTCCCTCCTCTGCCAATCCCTTCACTGGCTCCCGATTGCCCAACGCATCAAATTCAAACTGCTAACTCTGACCTACAAAGCCATTCACAACGCCGCCCCAAACTACCTAACTGACCTGATACCCAAATACTACCCTACCCGTGCCCTCCGCTCCTCACAGGACCTCCTACTCTCTAGCTCCCTGGTCTCCTCCTCCCACGCCCGATTATAGGACATCTCCAGGACTTCCCCCATCCTCTGGAACTCACTACCCCAATCCATCAGACTGTTACCTACCCTCCTCACTTTTAGGCGCACCCTGAAAACCCTCCTCTTCAGGGAAACCTACCCCGACCTCACCTAACAACTAACCTCCTTCTCTCCTCCTACCACTCCATCCCCCACAACCATTTCCTCCTGTACTGCTATCCCCTCCCTCCTAGATTGTAAGCTCCAAGGAGCAGGGCCCTCGAACCCCTCGTGTATTGTATTGTTACTGTCTTGTCTCATGTTCTGTCCCCCTTGCTACTGTACAGCGCTGAGCATACCCTTTGGCGCTATATAAATACTGTATAATAATAATAATAATTTTTACATTTCTGCTGTGGACCTGTTTATTTGGCAATAACTGTCATTACTAAAGATATTAAAGTAATACGAGGTGGTATCAGAAAGTTTCGAGACTAGTTTTGTTACACGCCAACAGATGGCAGCACAAGGCAGCATGCACGGTCACAGGGAGCACCTTCATAGGTCAGTGTGCCAAAAGACATTGGGAGCTGTGCAACTAGTGCTATTCTGTTACAAAACTAGTCTCAAAACTTTTTGACACCACTTCGAACATATCTGTATATTGTTTTTTAAGGACAAACAAGACTTTCTTTTTATGTTAGTCAACCAGGTCAGGGTTGGTCATAGGGCACACTGGGCCACATGTTCTAACAAGCAGGGCTGTCTTTAACATGGCAAAATGTTTTCCCGGCCATGGAGGACTGATCATTCAGGCACTCGGCACTGCCTGAGGGCCCAGGGTCAGTAGATGGCCCCCTTTCCTCCCATCCCCCGGCTCTTCCCCCTCTCATACTGTACTTGTTATACGTTGCACATTCCACTGTACACAAAGGACTCCGTGTGTGCTGGAGAGAATGTTCACCCTGCTAGGGCTGCTGTTGACCTGTTCTTTGGTATTGAAGCAGGTGGTGAGGATCCTGGTGGGGCTGAGGAAACCATGTGGTGTCTGGGTGGCGGAGGAGTGATCTCAGCCGGTATGGGCGCTGAGCAGGTAAGTGGAAGCCCATGTCATTGTATTATACAGTAACACAATAATAATATAACACATAATAAAACAAGTTGAAAGAGCAATAATCATGTGTAGTAACCTCTAGCAGCCGATCAGTGAGCAGTATTGCTGTGCAGTAACCTCTAGGAACCAATCCGTGAGTGGTAATGATGTGCTGTAACCTCTAGCAACCAATCAGCGAGCAGTAATGATGTGCTGCAACCTCTAGCAACCAATTAGCGAGCAGTAATGATGTGCTGCAACCTCTAGCAACCAATCAGCGAGCAGTAATGATGTGCAGTAACCTTTAGCAACCAATTAGTGAGCAGTAATGATGTGCAGTAACCTCTAGCAACCAATCAGCGAGCAGTAATGATGTGCAGTAACCTTTAGCAACCAATTAGTGAGCAGTAATGATGTGCAGTAACCTCTAGCAACCAATCAGAGAGCGGTAACATGATGTCAGCACTCAACGGTAGCTGCCTGTAAAAACCTGGTGGAGGAAGACAAAAAACAGAATCTTTTACACGATGTGCATAGCCAGGTTCTGTTTTTTACTTTCATATCGGGTCTGGTGCGGTCCTCCAGGGAGGGACTGTGACACAGGCAGGGCAGGAACTTACTCTGAGTAGCTCTGCAGCGTGCCACCTCTCACGGCGATCAATAGAGATGCAAGCTCTTAGCAGAGGATTTACATAATTCCAAATGATTGACAAATTACAGGGACTGAAGCCAGACAAATATAATTATATGATATTGAAAAACCGGTAGTTGTCATTATTTATAATATGGTTTAAAAAAAAAAAAAAAAGGAATACACCAGTCAGGGCTCGCAGCCATTGTCTGAGGGCACTGATCGAATGCCAAATGGACTCTGGTTCTCCAGCATGCTCATGGGACAATTCGGTTCGTGAGATCGGCTTCTGTCAGACAAGGACCTGTACACACAAGCTGAATGTCGGCCGGTTTCTATTTTACCAGCTGGCTTCGGCCATTATTCGGCCTGTGTGTATGAGGCTTGAGACAATAAAATGTAAAAAAACGTAAAATGTTAACACAGAGCTCTGTGTGTGATTGGACACAGCCGATCAGCTGATTTCAGCCAGCTGCCGAATTAGTGCTCCGTCCAATCACAGCACGGGGTCAGCAGGGGGCGCGCGCTTGCCCACCCCAAACCCGTAATAGGCCAATTTGTATATGTATGCAGGACACAGCGGACAGCCCCATTTGGAAACTCGGCACTGCCCGGGGGCCCCATGAGGGTCAGTATGTAAACGCAGAGGGGGCCCCATGAAATGCCCCTGGTACCTGTGTTTTTCATAGCCGATTTTGAGTTTGGGCTGGACACAGGGCCCCATGACCCCTATTCCAGGGGGGCGCCCATGAGTTGTCAGTCCACCCCTGTATGTATATGAATGCGATCGTACCTGTACCTGCCGCCTAATCGCAGTACATTCAGCCCTGGTTCACATTGATGCGGGAGGAATTTGCAGCGTTTTCAGTGCGAATTCAGCACCGCATCAGAATCGCACCACGTTCATGCAAACCGCTGCGGGTGGTGTATGTTAACAACACCCCGAAAAGCGGTTCAGCAAAACGCAGTGCGATGTGCAAAATCGGATCGCATAGGTGTGAGTACCCGTGCGATTCGATTCTAGTGCCGACCTAAAAAAGGGTTCTGCATGTTTTCAGTGCGGGTGTGGTGTGATTAGAGCCATATATAATCTATGACTCCAATCGCGCCACACACAAATCGCATGTGATTGGCAGGGGAATGCAGTGCGGTTCCTGTGCGAATCACATACGATGTACCGCACCGCACACTTACGTGAACCCGGGCTTACTGTGAGCGGTCGGCAGGTGGTTAAATATTAATAGTTGTTAAGATAGAAAAAAACAGCGGGAAAATATAAGATGAAGAGAAAAGGAGACTAATGCAGGCCATAGACGGGTCGAAAACCGGCCGTTTAAAAAAAAAAAAAAAAAAAAAATCGGTCGTTCAATAGGCCAACGTTACCACTAACTGTAAAAAAAATTGGCCGATTTTCGTCCCGTCTACGGCCGGCATTTAATTACTTCTGTCCCTTGCAGAGAGCCCCGCTATTATATTTGACATGAAAAAGTATTGCGGTTGCAACAATGTATACATTTGTATCCATTTCAGATACAGATGGTTTTATTTGGATACAAATAGATACATTGTTGCAACCACAATACTTTTTCATGTCAAATATAATAGCGGACTGGAATTCTTCTTCTTTTTCTTCTTCTTTTTCTTCTTCTTCTTGCAGGTCACGGCTCATGCGCAGATTTTTTTATCGGTAAAACGATCGACCGATTTGCTTATCATTGCCGGGAAAATCGGCCGATCGGCGAAATCGGCCGATTTGTTTCCAACTTTACCGATAAAAAAAAATGTGCCAAAACCCCGAAAAACGGCCGACCAATTAACCCACTAACGGTGCAAAAATCGGCCGATTTTTGACCCGTCTATGGCCTGCATAAGGAGTTCATTAGGGCTGATTAGAGTAAATTAACAGGTAATAAAGGGTTAAACAGAGGAATATTTTATTTAAAAAAGAAAAAACTTTTTCTTACTTGTCAGGTTGCTGCCCTCCTGAGGATTCCCCCCTCCTGACCAGGCCATTTTTTGTGTTATGGTACTGCATTACTTTAACTGACAATTGCGCGGTCATGCAACGCTGCACCTAAATGAAATTTACATCTTTTTTCCCCCACAAATAGAGCTTTCTTTCGGTGGTATTTGATCGCCTGTGCAGTTTTTATTTTTAGCGCTATAAAAAGATCGATAATTTTGAGAAAAAAAACAATATTTTAGATTTTTTGCTATTAAACATGTCCAGTAAAAAAATTAAAAAAATTAAATTTTGTCATAAATTTAGGCCAAAATGTACTCTGATCCGTGTTTTTGCTAAAAAAAAATCCCAATACGTGTCAATTAATTAGTTTACATGAAAGTTATAGCGTCTACAAATGGCGGTATAGATACTGAGATTTTTAATTTTTACTAGTAATGGAGGCGATCAGCAACTTATAGCGGGACTGTGGAGGGCATTTTGACACTGCAGGGGAACTGACTTGGTGTCACTGACATCTCCAGTGACACCAATACAGTGATCAGTGCTAATAAAAAGCACTGACACTGTACTAATGGCACTGGGCAGAAAGGGGTTAACATCTGGGGCAATCAAAGGGTTAACCGTGTTCTGTTTTACTGTGTTGCTGTGTGTGTGTGCTTCACTGTAAGCACACTGCTTTGCATGGCTTTCTATGCAAAGCCATGCATTGCAGTGTGCAGGAGCTGACAGGGGAGAGATCTGTGTTGTTTACTTACAGTTCTCCCCCTCTGTTGGTAATGCTCCTCGATCACCGGGTGCCGGCAAGTAATCATCAGCTGGGACCCGGTGATTGACAGCCGAGGCGCAGGTAGGGTGAGCATGTGGCTCGCGCGCGCCCCCTACCCAGAAATGCAAAGTCACGTATATATACATGATTTTGCGCACCTGTGCCACCCTGTAGCAGTATACTGTATCTACTATAGGGTGGACGGGAAGTGGATTTTCTATAACCCCCAATATATACTGCAGGCCTTTCCGAAGAAAATATATTAATTTGCTAGAAAGCTGACATCATCTGCAGATATAAATTAATCCCTTTGATCTGCAGATGAATGAGCAGAAAGATACAAATGTAACAATATGTTACTTTGTATCATTGTATAAGCACAGTGTTTTTTTTTGCTTTTTTTGACAGCTGGAGCTGCTGACACCTTGTTGATCAGAAGTCTGTATACTGGTGGGAAGGGGGGGGGGGGGGGGGGGGGTAGGTGGCAGTGTGCTGAGTTCCAGAAGTAGGGCAGAGAGACTGGACATGCTACACACCTCCTGTGTACAATAATGTTTTTTGGGCGTGTGTAGCATGCCCAAAGTCTGCAACTCTTTAAATCCTGAGTATAAAAGAATATCCCATGCTAGTATGTTACTGAGGAGGACTCTCTTTGTGAAAGTAGGGGTCGTATTGCAGAGGTCCGACGTACCTCCTCTGAGACTGAGCTATAAGTAGCGCTACCCCGTAGGGGCCGCTGGTAATAGCTTGAGCTATAAGTAGCACTACCCTGTAGGGGCCACTGGTAATAGCTGGAGCTATAAGTAGCGCTACCCCGTAAGGGCCGCTGGTAATAGCTGGAGCTATAAGTAGCGCTACCCCATAGGGGCCGCTGGTAATAGCTGGAGCTATAAGTAGCGCTACCCCGTAGGGGCCGCTGGTAATAGCTGGAGCTATAATCAGTGCTACCCTGTAGGGGCTGCAGTAATAGCTGGAGTTATAAGTAGTGCTACCCCGTAGGGCCCCATCAATCTAAGCTATCAGCCAAGCTATAAGTAGCGCTACCCCGTAGTGGGAGGGGGCCGCTGGTATTAGCTGGAGCTATAAGTAGTGAACCCCGTAGGGGCCACTGGTAATCAGCTGGAGCTATAAGTAGCGCTACACCATAGGGGCCAGTGGGAGGAATCAGTGGGCCCCATCAGGTGTCAGTGGGAGGAATAGTGCCCCATCATTGGTGTCAGTGGGAGGAATAGTGCCCATCATTGTGTCAGTGGGAGGAATAGTGCCCCTTCATTGTGTCAGTGGGAGGAATAGTGCCCCATCATTGGTATCAGTGGAAGGAATAGTGCCCCATCATTGGTGTCAGTGGAAGGAATAGTGCCCCATCATTGGTATCAGTGGGAGGAATAGTGCCCCATCATTGGTATCAGTGGGAGGAATAGTGCCCCATCATTGGTGTCAGTGGGAGGAATAGTGCCCCATCATTGGTGTCAGTGGGAGGAATAGTGCCCCATCATTGGTGTCAGTGGGAGGAATAGTGCCCTATCATTGGTATCAGTGGGAGGAATAGTGCCCCATCATTGGTGTCAGTGGGAGGAATAGTGCCCCATCATTGTGTCAGTGGGAGGAATAGTGCCCCATCATTGGTATCAGTGGGAGGAATAGTGCCCCATCATTGGTGTCAGTGGGAGGAATAGTGTCCCATCATTGGTGTCAGTGGGAGGAATAGTGCTCCATCATTGGTGTCAGTGGGAGGAATAGTGCCCCATCAGTGGTGTCAGTGGGAGGAATAGTGTCTCATCATTGGTGTCAGTGGGTGGAATAGTGCCCCATCATTGGTGTCAGTGGGAGGAATAGTGCTCCATCATTGGTATCAGTGGGAGGAATAGTGCCCCATCATTGGTGTCAGTGGGAGGAATAGTGCCCTTTCATTGGTGTCAGTGAGAGGAATAGTGCCCCATCCTTGGTGTCAGTGAGAGGAATAGTGCCCCATCATTGGTGGCAGTGGGAGGAATAGTGCCCCATCATTGGTGTCAGTGGGAGGAATAGTGCCCCATCATTGGTGTCAGTGGGAGGAATAGTGCCCCATCATTGGTATCAGTGGGAGGAATAGTGCCCCATCATTGGTATCAGTGGGTGGAATAGTGCCCCATCATTGGTATCAGTGGGAGGAATAGTGCCCCATCATTGTATCAGTGGGGGGAATAGTGTCCCATCATTGGTATCAGTGGGAGGAATAGTGTCCCATCATTGGTGTCAGTGGGAGGAATAGTGCCCTTTCATTGGTGTCAGTGAGAGGAATAGTGCCCCTTTCATTGGTGTCAGTGAGAGGAATAGTGCCCCATCATTGGTGGCAGTTTGAGGAATAGTTTCCTATTGTTGGTATCACTGGGGGGAAATAGTGCCCTATTGTTGGTGTCAGTGGGAAGAATAGTGCCCCATCGTTGGTGTCAGTGGGAGGAATAGAAATTCTGAAGGACCCTCTGCACACTGATATATACCCTTTCAAGCAGACTATGCAATAAATAGGGATATTTAGTTCACACATATTGCAATACATGCTTAAGCTGGCCAACTGCGTCAAAGTAATCCCTCTATGGCCAATCCTACTCTGCCCTGCCTACGCAAATGCTACTGTGGACACAATGCTAACAGAGGGGAAAAGACACAATGGGGAGAGCTACAAGGTTCAAACCTTGCAGGCTGGCTCAGACACATGCCATTTCCAGTCTATTAAGCCTTAGCGGCCATTTAGCTTTCTTGTTCTGCCTGATGATGAACAGACCTCTGCAGACCGCTCTACCTATTCCAAGCATTTGCACTAGATGGCGTAGAAGGGTCAGGAATTGGAAGCTGGGGCAGAACTCCGGATCCACAATTCTGGATCATTGGGAATGCAGCGTAATACTACGTTCTATAAAAATAGCCGAACAATTTATTCATATATTTTGAGAAACTACAGAGTGTACATACCTACAGCAGTGTGCTATAAAATAATACCTTTCTTCTCCTCTTTCTGCTGATACTAATATTGTTAACCCTGGCGTCTCTCTGCTTGTATATCCAGCTTATGATAAGTCTGTTGTAAACTGATCCAAAACGAAAGTGAAAAACGTGTAAAACGAGTATACAAGGTGTGGCAATTTAATTCCCGGAATGGACGGTAAAAAAAAAATTTTTTTGCTTACCACTAACGGCCGTTGTCACCTTCAAAGCAGTCCCCTGGGGAAGCGACGCACCGTTCTAGACAACTGTGCCACTGCTGGAAACATTCCTAGAATTCTGGATTTCTGGAACACTGCGTAGTATTTTTGTCGCAGGACTCTGGATGTCCGGAGTGTCATCAAATCTGTGTCCTCTTTAAGGCATTTTTTTTTTTTTAAATTCTGGAAACAGCCAAAAGGCACGGGGTGAATAAGATGGTTGGTCAATGGATTTCTGGGCCACGATCCTCTATGGGAAATCAAGGATGGAAAAAGATCTGGGGGGTCCTATAAGGTGACAGGCTCAGCAATGACATGCAATGTCAAGCTGCAGCACGCAAAGCCAGCAAAATATTTAAAAAAATGGCATGGGGGTCCCCCCCAAAATCCATTCCAGATCCTTTTCTGAGCATGCAGCCTGGCAGGTCAGGAAAGGGGGGGGGTCAAGCGAGTGCCCCCAATCCTGAATCATACCAGTCTACATGCCCTCAACATGGGGGGGGGGGTGCTTTGGGGCAGAGGGGGCTCCCTCCTAAAGCACCTTGTCCCCATGTTGATGGGGACAGGGGCCTCTTCTCCACAACCGTGGCCTTTGGTTGTGGGGGTCTGCGGGCGGGGGGGCTTATCAGAATCTGGAAGTCCCCTTTAATAAGGGAGCCCCCAGATCCCGACCCCTCCATGTGAATGAGTATGGGGTACATGGTACTTTATTTAAGTCCTTTATTTAAAAAAAAAAAAAAAAAAAAAATGTCCCCTGAAGTAGAGCCAACGTCAATCACAATGCCCGCCGTTGACCCGAAAAAAGAAACCTCGCTCCGCTTTCAATGCCAGCTCCCGCCGTCTGACGGCTGCGCCCGCAATGACAGTTCTTATATACTGTTGTGACGTCACAAGGAGGTGCCCTTTGTGACATCATCACGTGCTGTGATTGGTCAAAGCAATGCACCTGACCTGTGGGGTCAGGTGCATTGCTTTGATCAATCACAATGCACTGTCAGGGTGCAGCGTGCTGTGGGGAGCTGCGGGTGAACAGCCCGCCGAACGCCTGCACCGTTCGTGTGTTCAGCGAACACGTGAATGGCCCATGTTCGAGTTGAACTTCATGTTCGACTCGAACATGCAGCCCATCCCTAGACATGAACACACCCACACAGGTCGAACTAGATGGATTGGTGTCTGTATTCAGCCTGATCAACTATGTAAGTATGAATCAAAAAAAAAAAAAAAAAAAGTGAGACTATACAGACAAAGCACGACTTTATTACAAAAAGCCTGAATGGTGGTGAGCAAACTTATGTATGAAAGAAATGGTGCTGCCCTGCTTATCCATAAAGTGGGTGAACAATCAACATAAAGGCAAATAAATGATGTGTGAAAAGGTGCTGCACTACTAATTCCTAAGTGAGTAAACGATCAGCATAAAAACATCAAATAATGAGTGAACAATCAGCATAAAGGCAAATAAATGATATATAAAAAAGTGCTGCATTACTGATTCATAAGTGAGTGAAGAATCAGCATAAAAACATAAAATAAATGAGTGAACAATCAGCATAAAGGCAAATAAATGATGTGTAAAAAGGTGCTGCACTGCTGATTCATAAGCGAGTGAACAATCAGCATAAAAACATCAAAAAATGAGTGAACAATCAGCATAAAAACATAAAAAAAACGAGTGAACAACCAGCATAAAAACATCCAAAAATTAGCAAACAATCAGCATAAAGGCAAAAAAATGATGTATAAAAAAGTGCTGCACTACTGATTCATAAGTGAGTGAACAATCAGCATAAAAATATCAAAAAAATGAGTGAACAATCAGCATAAAAACATAAAAAAAAAGAGTGAACGATCAACATAAAAACATCAAAAAATGAGTGAACAATCAGCATGGAAACATCAAAAAATTAGTGAACAATCATCATAAAGGCAAATAAATGATGTGTAAAAAAGGTGCTGCACTACGGTTTCATAAGTGAGTGAACATTCAGCATAAAAACATCAAAAAATGAGTGAACAATCATCATAAAAACTTCAATAAATGAGTGAATAATCAGCATAAAGGCAAATAAATGATGTGTAAAAAAGTGCTGCACTACTGATTCATAAGTGAGTGAACAATCAGCATAAAAACATCAAAAAATGTGTGAACAATCAGCATAAAAAACTTCAAAAAAATGAGTGAACGATCAGCATAAAAAACTCAATAAATGAGTGAACAATCATCATAAAGGCAAATAAATGATGTGTGAAAAGGTGCTGCACTACTGATTCCTAAGTGAGTGACGATCAGCATAAAAACATCAAAAATGAAAATCAGCATATAACGATCACATAAAAATCAAAAAGGAGTGAACAATCAGCATAAAGGCAAATAAATGATGTATAAAAAAGTGCTGCAATACTGATTCCTAAGTGAGTGAACGATCAGCATAAAAACATCAAAAAATGAGTGAACGATCAGCATAAAAACTTCAATAAATGAGTGAACACCTTTTTACACATTATTTATTTGCCTTTATGCTGATTGTTCACTCATTTTTTTATGTTTTATGCTGATTATTCACTAATTTTTTTATGTTTTTATGCTGTTCGTTATTTCAGAATCATTTTTTAATATTTTTATGCTGATTGTTCACTCACTTATGAAACAGTAGTGCAGCACTTTTTTACACATCATTTATTTGCCTTTATGCTGATTGTTCACTCATTTATTGAAGTTTTTTATGCTGATCGTTCAAAACTCATTTCTGTGCTCAAAGCGGTACATTTTTTTGAATGGAAATATGTATTTTTTTTATTGTAGGCTGTAATTTTTAGGAATAACTCACTGAAATCTGTCCGAACAAGAGTCTAGTAAACATCCCGGGGAGGATAAAATTTGAAACATGAAATCATAAATTATAATTTAATCAATAATAAAAAAAATAATAATAATATAATAATAATAAATTTTATTCAATAATATAATCAAACCAAAAACACTGAAGAAATAGAGCGCCAAGTTCGCACATCGCTGAGCAAAGTCGCAGAATCGTTTTCAGTGTCTGATGAGGAATTTCCCCCACGAATCATTATCACTCAATTCTGCAAGTGGTTCTGATTTACTATCGCTGTTCTCTAGCCGGTCTAAAACCACTTTTGACCTAAAGGGACGCTTTTTGGACGCCATGGACGTTTCTCAGTTTCCAGGCAGAAAGAACAGTAATAATGCAGGCAGGGCGCCGGACAAAGCACTCGGGACAAAATGTATGTGAAATGGTTTGATACAGGAATGTTATACTATGTGATTTTAGTGTATTTAGTGAATGTCACTTTTTGACATTTTTTAATTTCCCGCCAGTTCTGTCCCCCGTACGTCCCGATGTCGCAGGGAATGGAACCCAGAAGACGGATGCCGGCATCGGCCGGAGGACATGGCCGGGGACACTGCAGGAGGGACATCGCGGGAGCGCAGGACAAGGTAAGTGCAGAAGAGATCCCAGAGCAACGCTGCAGTGTATTCCTGAGTGTAGCTCGTGGGGGTCACCGCTTGTGGTGCTGAAACTTTGCCCCGAGCTACACTCAGGAATACCGCCAGGGGGGTAACCAACAATTTTCCATCCAGCTCCTTAGATTATTTAACAGTTTCCCGACTACCCTATAGTAGATATACTGCTACAGGGTGGCACGGGTGTGCAAAATGACGTATATATATATGTGATTTCGCTTTTCCAGGTAGGGGGCTTGCGCGAGCTGAGCTGCCAATCACCGGATCCAGAGCAGTGTGATTACAGTGAAGCACGCAGACACAGCCACATAGTAAAACACTCCCAGCACACAGTTAACCTTTTGATCGCCCCAGATGTTAACCCCTTCCTGCCCAGTGCCATTAGTACAGTGTCAGTGCTTTTTATTAGCACTGATCACTGTATTGGTGTCACTGGGGATGTCAGTGACACCAAGTCAGTTCCCCCCAGTGTCAGAATGTTCGCCGCAGTCCCACTATAAGTTTCCTGATTGCTGCCATTATTAGTAAAAAAAAAAATCCCAGTATATATACCGCCATTTGTAAATGCTAGAATTTTCACGTAAATCAGTGGCGTATCTACTGCGAGGCAAACAATGCGTTTGCCTAGGGTGCAATTTTTAGGGGGCGGTGCCGCCCCCCTGGAAGAAGGGACCTTTTGAGCAGCGGTGGACAGCAGGAAGATCGATGTGGTGGGGCGTGGGGGAGGGCAGTTGCAGAGTGACGGTCGTGTACCTCTCCCTCCAGCAGCTGACAAGCCAGGACCAGGGGACAGCCTGGAGCAGGGAGAGAAGTGACAGAGAGGAAAGAGCCGGAGGAGGTGAGCAGTGTTGTGTTCTGTGGGTTCTCCCTCCTGTCATCTATCCAGTACATTGCACACTGACAGATTGTATGGGACTGCACCCCCCCCCCTTCCTGCTGCCCGGAGATCAGCAGCCCTTGGAAAGAGGGTGTGTGTGTGTGTGCTCTCATACGATCTGAGGAAGACGGGAAGAGAGAGAGGGAGGGAAGAGAGAGAGAGGAAGAGAGAGAGAGGGAGGGAGAGGGAAGAGGGAGATAGGGAGGGAGGGAAGAGAGAGAGAGAGGGAGGGAGGGGGAGGGAGGGAGGAGGGAGGGGAGGGAGGGAGAGGAAGAGGGAGAGGGAGGGAGAGAGAGAGGGGAGGGAGGGATAGGGAGGGAAGAGAGAGAGGGAGAGGAGGGAGAGGGAAGGAAGACAGAGAGAGGGAGGGGAGAGGGAGTGAGGGAAGAGAGAGAGAGGGAGTGAGAGGGAGGGAAGAGAGAGAGCGAGGGGGAGAGAGAGGGAGATAAGAGAGAGAGAGGGGGGGGAGAGAAGTGAGAGAGAGAGAGAGAAGAGAGAGGGAAGGAAGAGAGAGAGAGGGAGGGAAGAGGGAGAGGGAGGGAGAGGGAGGGAAGAGAGAGAGGGGGGAGAGAGAGGGAGATAAAGAGAGAGGGAGAGAGGGAAGGAAGAGAGAGAGAGGGAGGGAAGAGGGAGAGTGAGGGGAGAGAGGGAGGGAGGGAAGAGAGGGGGGGAGGGAGAGTGAGAGAGGGGGGGGGGGGGGGGGGGAAGGAAGAGAGAGAGAGGGAAGGAAGAGAGGAGAGGGAGGGAGAGGGAGGGAAGAGAGAGAGAGGGGGAGGGAGGGGATAAGAGAGAGAGAGAGAAGAGGGAGAGAGGGGGAGAGAGAAAGAGAGGGGAGAGAAGAGGGGGAGAGAGTGAGAGGGAGTTAGGAAGAGCAGAGAAAGAGAGAGGGAGGGAAGAGAGAGGAGAGGGAGGAAGAGAGGGAGAGAGGGAAGAGAGAGAGAGAGGGGGGGGAGGGAGGGAGAGGGAGAAAGTTAGAGAAAGAAAGAGGGAGAGAAAGAGAGGGGGAGAGAGAGAGAGAGGGGGGGTGGAGGAGAGAGAGAGAGAGAGAGAGAATCATATATACATACACACAGTTATTGAACTCTCTCGCTCTTTCATTTGGGGGGGGGGGTGCGCAAAAGTTTTGTGTTGCCTAGGGCAGCACAACATCTAAATACACTACTGACGTAAACCAATTAATTGACATATATTGGGATTTTTTTTTTTTAGCAAAGACACGGAGCAGGATACATTTTGGCCTAAATTTATGATGATGAAATCTGTTTTTTTTTAATTTTTTTACTGGACGTGTTTAATAGCAAAACGTCAAAAACATTGTTTTTTTTTTCTCAAAATTGTCGGTCTTTTTTTTTTTTTACAGCGCAAAAAATAAAAAATGCACAGGTGATCAAATAGCACCGAAAGAAATCTCAATTCGTGGGAAAAAAATGGCCATAAATCTAACTTGGGTGCAACGCTGCACGACCGCGCAATTGTCAGTTAACGTAGCGCAGTAACGCAAAAAATGGCCTGGTCGGGGAGGGGGGAAATCCTCAGGAGGGCGAGGGGTTAATTGAAGGATGTGGGGTGGAGTGGTGCTGAAAGGGCCCCCTGAATTTCAGTGTCAGTTCATTAGAGACCGGAAAAAACATTTTTTCCCAGCGTACGGTCAGCTTTATTCCTACGGAATCTTTCCTGCAGTGCGCTCATTCCTATGCAGAAACAGCTTCTGGTCTCAGCCAAAAGGTGGGTCGCGTCACTGACCTGTATAATACGCAACGCGGCGCTTCGGTCATTTCCTGGAAATGCGTTCTTTACATAAGTATCCAAATAGCTTATTCATGTAAAAAGCGAAGTTCTTCCTCTGCATAATACATCAGACGGCCGTGTGCTCTGCTAATGTTCGAGGACCTGCTGTGCAAATAATTAGAAATCTCTGGTAATCTTTCCTGTGGCAGCCGTATATAATATGAATTCAAATATCGGGGTTGTTGGAGACCTCGTCCCGGGCCGCAGTGCCGCTCGGTACACATCGCTGGGTATGGGAGAGGGCAGAGTGTCAGATCACCAAAGTGTGAGACCGTAACAGGAGGGCTCCTCCGGGGAGAGACTGATGGCGACGCTTCAACGTTCTCTGGTCGTTGCCGTGGAATATGTTGGAAGGAATTTTTTTCCCTGCAGGAGCAAATTGGATCGTACTTTGCTGAGTTTTTGCCTTCCTCTGGATCAACTGTCTGTGTAGGATTATAACTTTTTTTTTTTTTTTTTCTATGGTTGAACTGGATGGACTTTTGTCCTTTTTCAGCCAGACTAACTATGTAATTATGTCACAGCAGAATACATATTCAAAAAGTAGTGAGCGTGCCCCGTGGTAGGGACGTTTTCTGGGGCAGAGACTGATGCAAAGTAATATATTTTCTTCAGAAAGGCCTGCAGCAGTATATATTGGGGGTTATATAAAATCCACTTCCCGGCCACCCTATAGCAGAAGTACTGCTTCACACAACAAAACACAACACAGCACACAGTTAACCCTTTGATCGCCCCTCATGTTAACCCCTTCCTGCCCAGTGCCATTAGTACAGTGTCAGCTTTTTATTAGCACTGATCACTGTATTGGTGTCATTGTCAGTGACACCAAGTCAGTTCCCTCCAGTGTCAGAATGCCCGCCGCAGTCCCGCTATAAGTCGCTGATTGCCACCATAACTAGTACAGAAAAAAAAATCCCAGTATCTATACCGCCATTTGACCAATTAATTTACAAATATTGGGATCTTTTTTTTTTTTAGACACGGAGCGGAATAAATTTGGGCCTAAATTCATGACGAAATTTTTTTTTTTTTACATTTTTTTACTGGATATGTTTAACCTCCCAGGCGGTATGATTATTTCAGATTTTTGGTGCTGAAAGCGGTACAATTATTTTGCATGGAAATTTGGCGTTTTATATTGTAGGCTGTAATTCTTAGGAATAACTCACTGAAATCTGTCCGAACAAGAGTCTAGTAAGCATCCCGGGTAGGATAAAACTTGAAACACGAAATCATAAATTATAATTTAATAAATAATCATAAAAAATAATAATATAATAATAATAAATTTAATTCAATAATATAATCAAACCAAAAACACTGAAATGTGAAATAGAGCGCCAAGTTCGCACATCGCTGAGCAAAGTCGCAAAATCGTTTTCAGTGTCTGATGAGGAATTTCCCCGGCGAATCATTACACTGTTCAACAGGTAAAAAGTTTTGGGCATAAAATTAGCTAATCTTACATAATTTTGGGGTGCTGGAAAACGAAAATGACCCTAAAAAATGTTGATTGGCTCTAGTTTCCATGATATATTCACCCATCTAATGATGTAAGCCATTCAAAATTATGATGCAACTTCAGCTGCATATTGCGCAATTGATACTGGTGACCAATAGAAAATTGCATGTATACTGAGATGATGCAATATTAGCCTTTAATTGCATCACTTCACTGCATAAAAGCTGCAGTATCTGTAGCTGATTGGAGTTCGTCTTTACATTTCATTTTATGCTTATATAGGCTACTCAGTAATGCCTCGAACTTGTGTGAATAAAGCAGATAATTTCTGCTAAATCTGCGGTGAAATAAGTTTTATCTCACAAAAAAAGGAGGATAACAGGAATGATTAAGAAAGCCTACAACTTGTATTTTGGCTGCAAGATAGGAGACCAGGACAAGAGCTGGGCACCACATATATGCTGCAATTCTTGTGGGACGGCACTGGAGCAATGGTTGAATGGAAAAAAGGCATCTATGCCTTTCGCTGTGCCAATGATTTGGAGAGAGCCAACAGATCATGTTAGTAAATTGTTACTTTTGTATGGTGCCTCCAATTGTAAAAGGGCTAAATAAGAAGAAAAAGTTATCTGTGCACTATCCAAATATTCCATCGGCAATACGTCCAGTTCCTCATGGAGAGGGGCTACCAATTCCTAAAGCACCAGAATCCTTCGTGGTTGAGTCAAGTGAGGAAGAACCTGAAGCGTGTAGTCACGTGCAGTTGTAAGAGATAGCCCTTTCCTCGAATACAAGAGAAAAGCCAAGAGAAGCAAAACCGACACAAACTGAAGACAAAACTAGTGAGAATCCTAAGTATTAAAATGATTCAACTTAGCTTATGGCTATAATTTTTCTTGGTAATCCTATGCAAATATATTATGCCATTTAGGCTTTGTTATGTAGTCAATATCACTTGCTTTATATTTGTGGAAAGACATCTATATAATTATTGTGCATTATGTAGTCATTACGCCTATAGTAGAAAACTTTCCGTTTACAGAAAAACTAGAGCCAATTGACAAATTTCATTGTTATATTTGAACTCAGAATGTGAAATTCATTAAGAAATGGATCCTTTTGTTTCCAAAACTGGCAAAAACTAAAAATTTGTTGAACAGTGTTATCACTCAATTCTGCAAGTGGTTCTGATTTACTATCGCTGTTCTCTAGCCGGTCTAAAACCGCGTCTGACCTAAAGGGACGCTTTTTGGACGCCATGGACGTTTCTCAGTTTCCAGGCAGAAAGAACAGTAAAAATGCAGGCAGGGCGCCGGACAAAGCACTCGGGACAAAATGTATGTGAAATGGTTTGATACAGGAATGTTATACTATGTGATTTTAGTGAATATCACTTTTTGTCATTTTCAAATTTCCCGCCGTTCCGTCCCCGTACATCCCGACGCTCGCAGGGGACGGAACCCAGAAGACAGATTCCAGCATTCGCCGGATTACATTGCTGGGGACACTGCAGGGGGGACATCGCGGAAGCGCAGGACAAGGTAAGTGATCAAGGGATCCCAGAGCAGCGCCACATGGTATTCCTGAGTGTAGCTCGGGGGGGTTACCACTTGTGGCACTGAAACTTTACCACGAGCTACACTCGGGAATACTGCCAGGGGGGTTAATAGCAAAAAGTCAAAAACATTGTTTTTTTTTCTCAGAATTGTCAATAAAGCGCTAAAAATAGAAAACGCAGAGACGATCAAATACCACCAAAAGAAAGCTCTATTCATGGGAAAAAAGGACATACATTTCATTTGGGTGCAGCGTTGCATGACCGCACAATTGTCAGTTAAAGTAACGCAGTGTCGTGTTATAAACTAATTTGGGTTATTTTTTTTTTTACTAAAAAGATAACAGAATAAATTTTGGCCAAGATTTATGAAGAAAGATTATTTATTTGTAAAATTTTATATGAAACATTTTTTCAAAATGTTTGGACTTTTTCATTTATATAGCAAAAAAAAAAAAAAAAAATCCCAGTGGTGAATAAATACCACCAAAATAATGTTTTATCTGTCTCAAAAAAATGCTAAAAAATTCATATGGGTACAGTGAATGATCACAGAGGTCACATGGTACAGGGGTATTCACAACAGCCTTGTACCATGTGACAAGCTGTGACTAATCACAGCTCACACAGTACTTCTCAATGGCTGAAGGAATGCAGCCAGAGAGAAGGAGAAATGATTGCTTTTACAGCCTTTATGGGTGTAAAAGCAATCAGTGTAAAAAAAAAAAAAAAAAAATCTTCATCACCCTCCACAAGTGACACTGTACTGCTAGGGTGACAGTATGTTAAAAAACATAAATAATAATATAAAAAAATAAAATAAAAATGTAAAAAATTTTTTTGGGGAAAAATTATAATTTTTGGTTATAAACTAATTTAGGTTATTTTTTTTTACTAAAAGATAACAGAATACATTTTGGCCAAGATTTATGAAGAAAGATTATTTATTTGCAAAATTTTATATGAAAAAACGCTTTTTTTTCGAAATGTTTGGACTTTTTCATTTATATAGCAAAAAAAAAAAAAAAAATCCCAGCGGTGAATAAATACCACCAAAATAATGTTTTATCTGTCTCAAAAAAAATGCTAAAAAATTCATATGGGTACAGTGACGCATGACCGCGCAATTGTCATTCAAAGTGTGATAGCGCTGAAAGCTGAGACTTGGCCTGGACAGGAAGGGGGTGAAAGTGTCCGGACTGGAAGGGGGGGGGGGGGGGAAAGTGTCCGGACTGGAAGGGGGGGGGGAGTGTCCGGACTGGAAGGGGGGGAAGTGTCTGGACTGGAAGGGGGGTAAAGTGTCTGGACAGGAAGGGGGGGGGGAAAGTGTCCGGACTGGAAGGGGGGGAAAGTGTCCGGACTGGAAGGGGGGGAAAGTGTCCGGACTGGAAGGGGGTGAAAGTGTCCGGACTGAAAGGGGGGGGGGGGTGAAAGTGTCCGGACTGAAGGGGGGGGGGGGAAAGTGTCCGGACAGGAAGGGGGGGAAAGTGTCCGGACTGGAAGGGGGGGGGGAAAGTGTCCGGACTGGAAGGGGGGGAAAGTGTCCGGACTGGAAGGGGGGAAAGTGTCCGGACTGAAAGGGGGGGGGGAAAGTGTCCGGACTGGAAGGGGGGGAAAGTGTCCGGACTGGAAGGGGGGGAAAGTGTCCGGACTGGAAGGGGGGGAAAGTGTCCGGACTGGAAGGGGGGGGGAGGAAAGTGTCCGGACTGGAAGGGGGGGGTGAAAGTGTCCGGACAGGAAGGGGGTGAAAGTGTCCGGACTGGAAGGGGGGGGGAAAGTGTCCGGACTGGAAGGGGGGGGGGGTGAAAGTGTCCGGACTGGAAGGGGGTGAAAGTGTCCGGACTGGAAGGGGGTGAAAGTGTCCAGACTGGAAGGGGGGGGGGGGGGAAGTGTGTCCGGACTGGAAGGGGGGGAAAGTGTCCGGACTGGGGGGGGGGGGAAAGTGTCTGCACTGGAAGGGGGGGGGGAAGTGTCCAGGCTGGAAGGGGGGAAGTGTCCGGACTGAAAGGGGGGAAAGTGTCCGGACTGGAAGGGAGGGAAGTTGTCCGGACAGGAAGGGGGGGGAAGTGTCGGACTGGAAGGGGGGGAAAGTGTCTGGACTGGAAGTGGTTAAATTGTTACATTTTATGTTTGTGTGGAAAAATCCATCCTTTCCAATGTGACTTTTTTTTTTGTGAACGGAACATCTTGATGCAAACATCCTCAGGAGATGACAGAGCTCGTTATAACCCACTTCCATACACTGTACACGTATATCCTATATACAAATTGCAGGTTCTAGTTGTAGTCAGTCCTGGTAATTGGGACTTATCAGTACCACCAGCTACTCAAGGCAAGTTCAAAAGTTAGTTTTTTTTATCTAGAGATAACATACACATGAGATGGATTAGCATGTTATTAATTCCATCCTTGAATTCCAAGACCGTGTTTAGACCTACATATATTTTTTTCTCTATTTCCCCATGTCAGTATCCATCCATCATCAAATTATATTTATTCACACAGTAACATCTGAATGGGAAATAAAACACGTTGTACTTTATTTTCCATTCAGATGTCACTGTGTGAATAAATATTGTATGTGTTAAAGTGATATTAAACACATGCATTTACATTCTCCCTTCTCTTTCTGCATTCGGATGATGGCACTGTAATTATTTTAATAAAAAAACACACCCCTAATTCCCCCGACATACAGTTGTCACATGACCCAGCTCTTTCCCAGCACATCTGCAGGGAAAGAGTGGCAGGAGGAGCTTCTAGTCCTACTGGTCACATGTTAAAAAAAAAACAACCCAAAAAATAAACAGCCTGTGGGATACAGAATAAAAATAAATAATTACTATCAATATATTGTTTTAAATTG